GATGAGAATATAAGTGGTTTTAATGCCTGCCTCCTGTTCGAAATGTCCACAGAATGTTTCGCCGGTACGGTTCTGGTATTTTTCATGGGTGAATTATTTATTAATGTCAATCTTTTATTTAAAGCCAGAAAATTTGAGATCATTAAAAAAAAATTCTTCATGTAAATCAATTTTTTTCTTCTGCAATTTTTCGAACTGGAGGCAGGCATTAAAATCAGCCATATTCTCATCGGCTTAGTAGCCACATTCAGCCCTCAAAATGCCAGACAAAAAAAATGACTCCACTAAACAGCCCCTATCTCACAGTCTATAAGGTATTCCTAATTTAAATCCAATTCTCTCTGGAAACCTGCGCTTGACTCTTTCTATTTTATCTTTGTGTATGGCATGATGAGGATTCCATACGCAACTTGCATATCCAAGCTAATAATTTTTATATGGTTATTAAAAGTGAGTTCAGAATCTAACCATACCCCAAGATCTTTGATTAGACTTTGCCTTTCTAGTGGTTCAGAGTCCAGGCAATACTCAAAAAGAACAAAATCTTTTGTGTTGCAAAAAGTTACAATCTTGCATTTATCTATATTTAATATTAAATTATTATTTTTTGCACCATGAAGAGAATCTATTTAGATTTGCCTGCAATAGCCGACAATCATTTGGAGAAACAATCATTCTAAAAGCCTTTAAGTCATCAGCTAATAAGCCGAGGAACTGGCAGACACGAAAAACATCTCTTACATCATTAATAAAAACATTAAAGAGGAATGTTGAGAGATGCCCACCTTGTGTTACACCCGAAGTTACTGTGATCTCAGTTGATATGAAATTCTTAATTTTTACAGACTGCTTACATCCTCTCAAGTTGCTCTTAAACCAATCAAGAAGATCTCCAAAAATTATAATTGAGGCAAGTCTCATTACTAGAATGCCATGATCAACTCTGTCAAAAGCTTTCGAGAAATCGAATACCTATTCCTAAAAGCTATTAACAGACATTGCTCATAGCTTAAGAGGTAAGAAACTGTTGATCTTCATTAATGATGTTTTTAAAATGAGGGGATATTTTATCTGAGATGATGGCTTCGAAGATTTTAGAAAATATACATTGTTTAGAATTTAGAAATGGCACGGTAGTTTTTTATGTCTGCTTTGTTCTCATCCTTAAAAACTGGTGTATAACATAGGAACTTTTCCAAGAAGTAGGGAATATACCGCTTCTTATTGATCGATTATAGATCTTACATAAAATTTCAGAATGGACAAATTAACAGTCTTGCACTAAAACAACAGGTATGCCATCAGGCTCAGGCCTCAAATTGGGTTTTAAAACATTCTATTAAAAACATCAATCACATTTAAAGATAAAAATTCCAAACTAACACATTTATGCTATTTCTCTGTGGATCATTACTAAAATGCTCACCAAGTAACATACACTGTGGGTACTCTGAGTTGCCTTTTTTTGAATTAACATATTTCCAAAAATATTTCTTGTCAGTCAATTGACTTTCAAGTATTTTGATATTTCCAGTGTGAAGCCCAACTTTTGTACTTTTTAAATTTTGTGTGATTTTTTCTTTTCAATTATTGAAGACTTTAAGTCCTGATCCATCCATTTTGGGAATTTAGGTGTTTTATACCGAGATGTAGGTGTAAACATCTCAATGGCATAATAAGAATAACCATCAACCAAATCAATATCAGCACACCCAGAAATGAATGACCAGGCAACACAAGATTAAAACAAATTAATTTCTCTATAATTAGCACATTTATAGGTATGTAAAATAAAAATAATTATACCTACAGTTAACATAAGTTCTTTGGTATGGAATTGCTCAGCTCAAAAAAACACTAAAAGGCTGGGTGTGGTGTGTCCAGCCTGAGCATCGGCATATCACAGATTAAAACATTTATGTCAATATGATTTGAAAACAACAAATCAGGACAATTACCATACACATTTGGAGTTTGGATGTTCTGGAACATCCCCAAGTAGGCTGCACAGTCAGAAATTACCACAGCCTCGTTTGTAATGGTTCCTGACGGAGATGTTCCATTTACCCCATTGACTCATGAAATTTTAGGTACCTAGAAAGAAAAACTTCAATAAAATCTGTTTCATCCAGCAAATGCATGAGCGATAACATAAACCTTCGTACATGTCCACAGATGAGACACCTGTATTGTATACACTGCCCACCAGAATCTTGTTACTTCCAACAGAGATCAGAATAAAAATGTTACCTTGCACTCAACCAAATAGTAGCATAAATAAAAAGAAGTTGTTCTCAGATTTAATGAACAATTCATTAAAATCGGTCCAAAGAACGGTTTCTTTGATTACATGAACTCTAGGTTATTGAAGTATGAACAATTTCTTAATTCCTATTTCGATTCATCTTGTGTATGAACAACGAACATTAAGGTATGTAGTAAGGTTTTTGTATTAATGAAACTTTTCATAGTAACAATAAACATCGTTCTTAGTTTATATGTACTTTTTCATTGCCCTGATGAACAGACGGCATAATATTAATGAAGCCCAGATATAATTTGATGAAACCCTTTCATTGTATTTAGTAATCACAGTCTTGAATACTAAGAATTGCATTCATTATATTTAATAATGACGTTTTCAATAATATATACCATATTCTTTATTTTTATTAAAATAATTTCATGAATTATGCCTTAAATATACTTATGATTTTAAATGGGGTAAAGGGTCATTTTTTATATTTGCGTGTACCCTGTACTGATGAATATGAGCAATAGGAAAAAAGCTTTTAATGCAAAAGTCGCATGGTTTCTTCGTATCATCTTCCAGAATTGTCAAACAAACCAATGGGCATCCCAAAATCTGAAAATTTAAAAATCTAAGTACCTACTTATGTATTTTTATTTTAAATGACACTAACCGTACATTCTATTATCTTTCAAATCCTCCTTAAATCCTGTTTCCATAAATATATATTATATCTATATTTGTTCCAGCTGTTTTTGAACTATCAACATCCAAAGTTTCTAAAACAAGCCACATCAGAAAATAAGATTTGATGCTTTGGCTGGTTTCCTTGCCTCGGCTATGAAACACTAGCTGCGGTATTGAATCTTCTGCTTTTCTACCTAGTGAAACAAAACCATTTAACAAAAATATATCGATTAAAAAAATTACAACTTGATTTGGGATTGAGTATACTTACTTTTAGAGACTTCAGTATTCCTTAGAAATTCTGAGGAGCTCTTGACGCTTTTGTCTTTCACGTTCTCCCCGGATGACATTTAAATCTGTAGGTCATTTCTTTCGCATTCCCATTTTGAGACTAGACCGTCTCCGTGCAAGGCATCCAAGTCCTACCTACATAATAGGTATACATATTATAGAGGTAATAGAGGTATACAACTTACCTTTAGAAAAAACCGGCGACAGGTATAATCGATTTTCTATTTAACACTTCGAACAATACAAAACCGAAAAAACCGACTTGAACGAAGTACGTAGCAGTGCACCCAGAAAATAGAAATGTAATTATTCCTATTTCAACATATTTTTCTATGTCGTTGCCCGACTGCAGCTACCTTTGCGCATGTGCTTAGGAACTGTCTACATTAATGCTATGAACTGTTTCATTGTATTTATGATTTATCTTGATGTAATGGTTGCAGCTTTGTTTCTAGGAATACTTGCTTGTTTTAAATGAGCCGTACATTGTATCAATGAATTTCGTTCTTAAAAGGATAATTTTCTAGTAAGGTCATATGAACCATATTCATATTATTCATGTTAATATTCATTTATATTATGAATATTCCGTGGAAGCTCCCATCAAAGAAATTTTCTTTAATATCAAGGTTTAATTTCATAATATCAATGAACTTAGTTCTTGTAACCGATGCACTATTCAACATAGATTCATGTAGATGACTATTCATAACTTGATGAAGCTTCATTCTTTATTTTAATGATAGCTGTTCATGAAATCATAATACTTACAGTTTTCTGTACCTGGGATTAATGAAAATTTCACTGAATCAATGAAAATGTAATTTATGAAAGCAGTTCATTGATATTATGATCAAGATTTTTTTGAGTGTGTCGAATGCCTTTTCAAAATCTATGTAAACAACATCCATTGCAATGTTATTATCGTCCATTCGAGTCCACTTGTTGAACCTCTCCAGTGGGTTAGTCAAGGTAAACCGTCCTTGCAAAAAACCGTGTTGAGAGTTTGGAATTGTGTCGTGTTCTAGCAAAAAAGGTGTTCCTTTACTATGATTTTTCCATATTTCCAGATTATACTGGTGAGACTGATTGTTCTCTGTAATTAGATGGCTGGACTTTGTCTTCTTTCTTGAAGATTGGGACTACAATTGATGTTTTCCATTTTTCTCATTCATACTGTGGTTTGTGAAATAGTAGATATTATGGGACTGCAAACTGCAAAGTACTTTTGAACATTTTTTTATAAAAAACGATAGAATTTTTTGTCAGGGCCAGAGCTGGATTCTGCTTTTAAAGACAAAATGGCCACTTGTACTTCTTCTGGTTTGAAAAATAAACAATTTATCTTTGGTATGGAGCGCAGCTTCGGTAGGAGAGTTGGTAGATTGTGGTTTTCTTGGGTGTGAGACTTTACTGGTCGTTTACCAGGTGTCAGACCCGATGCAATCGATGTTAACACTTTTCAATTTTGTGCTTTCCAGCTTGAAATATCCTACTATAGAAACTTTTTTATGTAGACTTTATTCTCTACGTAATATAATTTTCTTGTTTCGTAGGTCTTCGCTAATAGGCCACAGGTGTATTTTGACGAGTCCCCGTAGCCATTACACAAAACCTAATTATACCTCGCTCGTCGTCGGACCCGCGGGGCCCCCACGAAGGGGGGCATCAGCGAGAGGGGGAGCACCGCCGGCACGGGGCGGTCACTGAAAGCGTTCGGCCGCACGCAGGCGGCCTGCTAGATCAGGCCCATACACTTACCACGTTAAAACGATATATGAGCATAACAGTATTGGTATACACTGTATAGACCAAAGTTAATATTATACCGTACCGAGAGGGAAGTGCGTCGAGACGCCCTTGCCGGAACGTTAATTTATTTTTCAGAGGGGCCCTCATCCCGCGGTGGCGCTTGTCTTTTTTCGCGCGCTTTTTTTTTCTTTTTGCTCGACCGACGCGGAAAAGTTTGGCGTGCGAAAGTTTGGACGCTCTATTCGGTTTCGTGCCGGCTCTATGAACTTCTTAAGTGTTGAGGGGCTGATGATGTTTTTTTAGGATAGAGTTTACTTACATTCATTTAGGTAAGGACCCTAGAAAAGTTTCAATACTCACCTTTTATTTTCCTTTTAAAACGACTACTATAAATGAATGTGAAGCTGAAGTTTTCCAATACACACGGTGACATGATAATTCCATGCAATAAAATTGAAAACCTAATTTTCAAGTTGATTCTCTTACCTGAATCCATTTAAATGAATATTGAACTCAAAATAGCACGTCAATGTTTCTTTTTTTTTTAAGAGCGAGCAGAAAATCCCACTTTCCTACATTTTTTGTAGATCACAGAGTACCTTTATTTTTGCCCATTTTAATAGACTCCTATAACACAACAATATGTACCTACCTCTAATAAGGATATACTTAAATATTGTTGTGTATATGACCAACCATTTATCATATTGTTTTTATTTTTTTTTGAGAAAATGGTATGAGCTGAATAATAATTGAGTCTACAGGCCTGAACAATCTAGGCGGCCAGTTAACTCTTATTGGACTTTGGGAGGATATTGTCCTATCGAAACCACATATTCTGGACATCTCAACTATTTAATTTGTTCCTCACAGAAAATGTATCCTATAAACTCATTTACAGTAACCGTTTCACCAGCTTCATTAAAATTCTGGAAAAAATATGGATCAATCAGCTCGTAGACTCCGCCAGACAAACTTAGTTTGTGGATAGTTCCGTTTTTCCCAGATTTTTTCTTGAATTTTCGTAGCTTTACGGCCTAATTCACTAATTCTGCCTATATGCTGATTCTCAAATTTCAAGATTATTTGGTCATTTCTTGATTTTCTAAGGCCCAATTAAAATTTGGACGACCTCCGACCTCGTATTAATGCTCGGTTGTCAATTCTTGACTCAACTGTATCTGATCTAGGCTTTCTCAAATATTTCAACTCAAGACCTGCTGATGAGTAATCGAAATTTTGATTATTATCGGCTCTTGAGCTTTGAATGCCCTTAGAAAAATTCTCTTGCGAATCTAGAGTTGATAAAAGTTCAAATTTGGATTATTACCGGCTCTTGATTGGCTCTAGGAAGGTTTTCCAAAGAATCAGGAGCCGGTAATAGTTCAAATTTTGATTATCTGTGGCTCTTGATCCATTGGATAATTTTTCTTGAGCCAATTAGAAACTGCGAAAGAAGACATTCTGATTGATATCAAATAGACTTAAGAGCTGCTAATGAACATTCAAAATTTTATTTCTTATCGGCGCTTGAGCTTTGAATGCCCTTAGAAAAATTCTCTTGTGAATCCACAGTTGATAAAAGTTCAAATTTGGATTATTACCGGCTCTTGATTGGCTCTAGGAAGGTTTTCCAAAGATTCAAGAGCCAATAGTAGTTCAAATTATGATTATCTGTGGCTCTTGATCCATTGGATAATTTATTTATGGCCAATTAGAAGCCGCGGAAGCAGAAATTTTAATCGATATTAACTTAAGAGCTGCTAATGAACATTCGAAATTTTAATTATTATCGGCTCTTGAGCTTTGAATGCCCTTAGAAAAATTCTCTTGCGAATCCAGAGTGGATTCAAATTTTGACTATTATCGCCTCTTGATTGGCTCTATATGAAGGTTTTCCAAAGAATCGGTAATAGTTCAACTTTTGATTATCTCTGGCTCCTTTATCCATTGAGTAATTTTTTAGAGCAACTAAATACCGAATATCCATATTGGATGCTGTGCCATGTCTGAAAGACAAAATAGAAAGATCATGTAGTCCGTTGACTTATAGAATTTCTCAAGTTACTCTGCTCATGACACATTTCATCAAAATATCGAAAGATGAGAGTATAACCAGCTATATTGACTATCTTGATCATTTTGATATTCCCTTTATTCCCCTTCAATTCCTTTTATATATGAAAATAATTTTCTTGCACAACTTACTCCTATCTCTCGAACCAGAATTCTAACTTTAACGTCTGAAAATTTCCGCGCTGGAAGATAATATTTAGAAAAAATCCTTAATTGTTTCAGAAAAACACGAATAGAAAAAAAAAAAAACTAGAACCACCTGCCTGCCATCAGCCTACATACAACTAACAAAAGAGCGCGTGGCCCATAAGATCCTACTTCAGATTCTCTGAAGAGCACCACTCCGACTAAAGACCCACAATGAGCCGTCATATCACAACTGTCGTCTTTAACAGCCCTTAAAAACTGTCAAGTGGTCATCGACGTCGAAGCGAGCCTGATTAGTTAAAGCACCCAATATATAATAGAATGGTTCCACTTCGACTTTCCGAGAGTTTGTTTTGAAATTAGTCGCTCGGTTTAAAGTAGAACAAGTGTTCTTGTGATAAAAACAAAAAAATAATAATGGAAGAAACTTGGGATCAACACGTTTCACCTTTAATGATGGGTGTGACAATGTCTGACCTTCATCATCACGATCCCATGACCGATATACATCAGACGCAAGATCTCATGTCGCATCCGGGTCCAAATTTGGAAGGGTTAACTGAAAATGCTGAGGATTTGAGAGGACATCATGTCGTTGAACATGGTATGCGAGGACATCCCGAAGCGGGACCTAGTGATTATTATGGACACCAGGTAAGTTTCCTTATATTTTGTTATTGCTTAATTTATTCCTTTAAATTAGTACCTAAGTCAAATAATTTACCATTATGAACAGGAAACATTCTATACTTTATTAACGCGTTCACTTGAGGGAAATTTTCTAGACCATCATAGCGTTCCAAAATAAAATATTCCGGAAAAGATATTCCTGAAAACATTTCACTAGCATGTCTCTAACACTTTAATGTAGATCTTTTTCAAGGGTAATGTCTGGAGAAAATTGGAATGTGTCCAAACAAAAACTATTAATCTGAAATTAGAGACATTCCAATTTTATTAAGAAACTATTCTTCAAAAAAATGTGAATTGTTGTGAACGATGTTGATATATTGACCAGTATGGTCAAATGTCTTATTTTCTGAAAGAGGATGACTTTGCTCTTTGTTGGGCTGATAACCATCTTCCACTTCAAGCACCATTTGGAAATCCATCCGTTGCTATTAGCATTCTTCTCCGACCGATATGATTTATATTCCGGAAGTTGATGGTTCCTCCTAATATCTTGCACAGAAGGAGTAAAAGTCTGATGGGAACTTTTTGCAGTTTCCTGCTTTGCATAGTACAACGACTTCCGCATTCTTCTCCGCTACGGAAAGTGAACTAATCTTAAGATGGAGTTGGTGATTCCTAATTACCATCTGAATTTCTGATACGAGGCTTCGTCTCTTGATCCGTATTCTTTTTGCTTTAACGTGCTTGAAGTCTTCATAACGCTAGAACATATCAGAAAACTTAATCTGTTGGAATTGTTTACTCCAACATCCCTCTGCAATTCCACAACAACAACAAAAAATCTATCTAACTAATGAAATAATATTAATGAAAATTTTTGATAATTTTAAACTTTTTCCACAACATTGAGTTTATCTTTAAAATAGTTAAACTTTACTCTGCCTAAAGGTTTTGTAAACACATCTGCAATTTGTTCATCTGTTGGAACATAATATAGAAAGAAGTTTGTTTATCTCAAGAAACTTAAGTGAAAGCATGCCTTGTGTCATTCTTTTTGGGGAAGCATCATCCAGGTTTGGCGCGCTGTCATCAGTGTCATCCACCGTTTTGATTGGCACTGATGGGGACGCATTCCCTGTGACACTCGCGTTTTCATTATCTCGCGTTCCACTATTTCTGCACGATAAATTACCATCACCCTGCAACAAACTGGGAATATCCGGGGGTACACTAGGGGGAATAACATCATTATTGATATAATCATGGTTCTCTGAAGGGATGCCTGATTTAGGAAAATAAAATGGAGCGTAAATCAAATGCCACCTATTTCGTCTATATGTATTTACCAACATCAGTTTCAATAACGTATGACCTTGGCTCTGGACTAATTTCCACGACTTTCCCATATTTTCTGACATCAACCACCCATACAGAATCCCCAATAATAAAAGGCTCCAAATCCTTGGCTTTATGTCTCTTGTTGCAATTTCTTTCTTGTTTCTCTTTTATTTCCTTAATCTCTTTTTCCAAAAATCGTGATTTCGTGTCTAATGACTTCTCTAGCAAGCTTGGCAACTGAGACAAATTTGATTTCAGTTTCCGATTCATTGAGAGTTCTGAGGGCGAAAAACCAGACTCAAGAGGTGTACAGCGATATGTCAATAAAGCCAAAAATAGGTCCTCATGACAATTCTTTTTGATAAGGCGCTTAGCAGTTTTTACGGCTCTCTCTACTCCCCCATTACTCTGAGGTCAATGAGGACTATTAGTTGTGAGAATAATTAAATTATAACTTTTAGCAAAGCCTAAAAATTTTGAAGAAAACTGTGTGCCACAATCAGTTCTAACTAAGTCAGGGATTCCATACCTTGCAAAAATCTCTTTTAATTTAGGAATGATAGCCTCTGCAGTCATACTTGTTAAAGTGAAAATTTCAAACCACCGAGAAAAATAGTCAGTGGCTATCATATATCATTTATCATTACACTTATAAAAATCAACGCCAAGTTTTTGCCAAGGACTTGTAACATTTTTATCCTTGTAAAAGGTCTCCCTATGGTTTTCACGGTGTTCAACACATTCTGAATAATGTGTCACAACATTGGTGATCTGTGTTAATAGACCGATCCACGAATATTTATATCGCATCAGACGCATGCGAAATCTCTGTAAACGAGGTGTTAACTTATACAAATTTTTAGTTTGAAGGATCTGAAGCAGAGGCTTATGATCAGTTTCGAAGATGAGGCGAGGCACTCCAGAAATATAATCGAAAAAATATTCGGCCGCCAATGTGAGAGCAAGGCCTCTTTTTCAATTTAAGCATAGCGGAGTTGTGCTGAGCTTAGTAATCGTGATGCAAAACCTATAATTCCTAGAGAGCTTTCTTTATTTTCTTGCATTAAACAAGCACGTATGCTAAAAGAACTAGCATCAGCACTAATTTATTATTGTTTTGTTAGCATCAAAAAATGTCAAGTTTGGTGGACTCTCTAAAACCTCTTTTAGTGTCTTGAATGCCTTTTCTTGGGACGGTCCCCATAAAAATTCAATGTTTTTCTTTAGTAAACTTGTCAATGGCTCTAGTATTTTTGATCTATTATGTATGTATTTTGCCGTGATATTAATCATGCCTAATAATCTCAATAGGTCTGTCCTATTTTTAGGTGTAGGAAATTCACGTATGGCTTTCACTCGGTTTGGGTCAATCAAAATTCCATTTTCCGATATCACATGGCCCAAGTATTTTACAGTTCTTGCAGCTATATGACATTTTCCTCTTTGTTCAGGGTGATACTTTCCTTATGAAGCTTAGTCAAAACTTTATTTAAAATTTCATCATGCCTTTCCAGAGTGCTCGCCTGAATCAAGATATCATCCATATTATGTGTTACACATCTTTCAATACCTGCTAAAATTACAACAAAATTCATTGTGAAATACTCAGGCGCACACGGGATTCCAAAAGGGGGCCTTTCAAAGAAAAAACGGCCACATGGCGTTATAAAAGTTGTCAATTGGCTCTCCTTACTTAATTTAATTTGGTAAAATCCGCTGGTTGCATCGAGTTTTGTGAAAAATTTTGAGCCATTTAATTGAGCTAACGTGTGTTCTATTTTTGGAAGAGGTGGGACCGCAAAACGCTTTCGTTTAATTTGGTGTAGTCACAACAAAGACGTACATGGGGTAGTATACAAGTGATTTTTAACTACTACCTAGTGATATACTCGACGTATCGTACTATTTAGTGTAATCAGTTGCTTTGTAAAAACCGCAATAGCCTGGAAATTTATTTTCAAAATTTCCCCTTAGCCCCGCCCCTACGTGAAAATAAAAGTTCGTGACGTAGTTAGTTTTTCCAATCTGGCAACACATCACGGTTTTGAGAACGCACAATTTGCACTGACATTGACTGTCAAGAACGAAACATCAAATTTACTACATCAAACAACGTAAACAAGTCTATGACAGTGTCACATATCACACGATTCACACGACACCACACATCGTTGAACTGTTGAAGTCAGCTGTCATTTTGAGCAGCGTTGCCAGATGGTCAGCGGCATGAATACTATTGGTCGCCGCTGTGGCGCTAAATTCAAATTACAGTTTGTTTTTCTCTGACTAATTCTATAGACACTATGCTGGAAAATAATTTAGTATCCCACTATACCATCACCATTTAGCCTATAGAATAATGTCGAGCAGTTTTTTCATTGATTTTTATAAATAGTATACTACCCCATTGGCTCAATAATTCCTAATTTTAGCAATCTATCAATTTCCAACTTTTAATTTAGGCAAAAGTTGTAAAGGGACGGTTCGAGGAACACTTTGTACAAAAGGCTTAGCGTCGGGCTTAATTTTAATTCACATTTCATTCTTAAATTCTCCTATCTCACAAAATATTCCAGGGAACTTTGTAGAAATTAGTTCTAAATTGAATCTTGAAATAGTTATTTATGTATCAAGGGAATTATGCAGGTGATAATACCCCAGGGCAATGTTTGTGTCCCGAGGGCCTCCGGCCCGAGGGACACCAATTGCCCGTGGGTATTAACTCCTGATAATTCCCGTGGTATATAGATAATTTTATATCCTACTGAATTTACTGTATTCTGTCTATTTTTATAAAGGAATAAGCCATAAATCAAAATTTCTATTTTTTGTCAAAGTGTTACCTATTCAAGGTAAAAGCGGGAGTTATGGAAATCCTTAACTCCCTTGGGAGTTATGATATCCTTAACTCCCTTCCTTAACTCCCTTGGGAGTTATGAAAATCCTTAACTCCCTTGGGAGTTAAGACCCTGTTTATGATTATCGTAACCAAGGTATTATATGGTTTTAATAGTTCAGTAGGATATAAAATAATTTTGACTTGAAGGCTGAGAAACAATATCAAAATTTATCTCGTTTACACTTTTTATATTTCTCTTAGAAAAATTCAGAACATTAAACTTTATCATTGAATTTCTACTCAGTATGGGTTGTCTTAACTTTTTATTTACATAAACAGTCTCACTTCTAGTAATTAACACCCTCATAGGTAAAATCAAGTTTCCGTTTACCAACGGTGTCGAGTTTATGGTCATCCGCAGCCCCAACTGCATCACACCTTTCAATTTTACTAGTATATTCACAAGGCAATTTTTCATGAGGAAAACAATTTACATCTGCCCCAGTGTCAACAAAAAAAAGGAACTTTTAACTTATGGTCTGAAAAAAAATCTACATAGGTACCATCTGTCCTTATGATCAGTGTAGACCTGCCCTATGAAGAAACTGTCATCATTTTTTGTCACCTGTAGAAGCTGCTGATCATGTTCGTCATCTGAGCTTCCGCTGCCGCTCTCTGACTCAGGGTGTTCAACAATAACCCTTACAGACTTTTTTTTTCTACACATAATACTCCAATGTCCCCTTCTGTCGCAAAATCTGCACACTGAAGTCTTTGCTGGACATTTTTCGTGGTCTACGCATGTAGGAATACCGCAGTAACCACATTTCTTCTCTTTTACATT